CCCCCCCCCCCCCCCCCCCCCCCTCCCTCCCTCCCTCCCTCCCCTCCCCCCCCCCCCCCCCCCCCTTCCTTCCTTCCCTTCCTTCCTTCCCTCTCTCCCTCCCTCCCTCCTTCCTTCCTTCCCTCCCCCTTTCTCTTAACATATTGCAATGCATTTTCACTTCTCTCATCTCAGACAACTGTTTTCCACATCCTCTATTAGATCAATTGTAACAGAAACAAGGATCCAATTGTCTGACTCAACAAAATTGGCTATCTTTGTGCGCAGACTCAGAGCTTCCTGTATCTGGCCAGTCTTGCCTTGAACTTCACGCCATTGACTCCTCATCCCCAACTTGCCTGACTTAAGAGAACTAAATTGCCTACTTGGTTAAGAACCAGCATTTCAGAATGCCACAGCTCTTTCTTCTGCTCAATAAATCAGCTCTGGGTATAATGCAGCAACAGCATGACTTAGTTTGAATAGGCCCTCTAGTTGCTCATCAGACATTTTATGGCTTCAATTGTGGCTTTAATAATGAATGCCATGTTAAAAGTTTAGCCGGGATCCTTTCTACTTCCTTGATAAGTGCTCTGTGAATCAGATATTCAGAATGGAGCCAAGCCCCTCTCCCCTTTTTAAAGAGATGGATTGCTGAACTTATTCCAGGGGTGCACCTATCACTATTTGAAGAATGTGAATCTGCAGGGAGGAGTTTGAGGTATATATATTTGGTATTTAGAGGGTGAATTATGAGGAGGCGGGGTTCAGGAGGCATCTGTGGGTTCAGATGGCTCTAATTTGAACACTGGATGCTCAAAAGTCTGATCCTTTTGCTTTAAAGATGTGATATGCTTCAGTGCAAACATCTGGTGCCTCGTGTTGAGCTTAAGGACCAGTCCAAGACTTTTTGTAAATTATTTCCTCCCCATACTGCCCCCATCGATCTCCAAGCTCAGTCAAAATCATGTTATTTCTATAGCTGGGGTAGGATGGGGAATCTATCAAGTCTTTTTCTCTTTCTTGACAATAAAAATCCATTGAAGATCACTTGCCCTGGCAATTGCTTCATTGGGCCTAATGATAGAGACAGCAATGGGAATGTTCTGCAGAATGCTCTAGAACAGGGCTGTCAAACTCGCGGCCTGCGGGTTGGATGTGTCACGGGCTAGCCACACCCACGCCCAGTTTAGCGAAAGGGGGGGGGAAGTCCCGATATATCAAGTGACAATGCCATGATGATGTGAGTTTGATATCCTTATTCTAGAAGCCTTATTTATAAGCTATTTTAGAAATAGTTCTTGAACTGACTCGCATATTTATCCATTACATTTTATTCAGCCTTTTTCTTCTCTCGAAAAATAGTTTATTTCCTGTTCTATCCTATCCTTGGGCAGGATGACCACGGGACAATCAGCATCTCTCAATATAATCTCCTGCCCAGGATGGTGTAAGGATAGAACAGGAAATAAACTATTTTAATATATAAAGAAGAAAATTTTACCTTTTGTGTCTTGCTATGAACATCTGACTAGGATGAATCAAAAAGTATGAAACTGGCATTTGGGACTGGATTTTAGAGGGACGTAAGCAACAAAAGGGCAGAAGGCTAGTTTAAAACTGAATCAGAAACATCATTCAAACTTGAGTACCCCATAAGATATAATTGTGTTGGTCTTCCTTTCCTAGAATCTTTTATTTGTACGATAGTTGTCTTTACAGCACTTTCTCTGCTTTTTCTTTGATAATCTTTCCTTTTAACTCTCTCCAGCTTGCCAATATCCTCTCTGTAATGAATGGTTCCAACCAACTACAATAGTGTGAAAGGTAAGGATGTGTTTTTTCAGATGCTGATCGTAAAATCACTTTTTATAACCTTCATTACCACTTAGGCTTTGTTGCCAGCAAAGCAATATAGTCTTTCAACCTTCACTTTGATAGAGAAGGGAAGAAAAAGGAAGGGAAAGGGGAAAAAAAAAAAAACCTTTTTCCAGGAGTCAATACACAGGCTGACCATCCATATGTATATAGCTCTTCTTACCATACATTCATTTATGAGATGATGGAATAGCCATGGGCAGTGTCAATATCCTCTGGCCAAAGTTAGGTTTTTCTGCGCAACAAGGCTTTTGCACAGAAACAAATGACATTACTTCAAATGTGGGGGGGAGGGTTCTCTCAAATGTAAAAATTATTGTCCTAAATAGGGTTGGTGGGGTGTAATTGCTTTGGTTGAGCTGCCTGCTCTGATTGGCAGCTACAGAAGACCTATCTGAGTTTTAAGTGACCCAGTTTTTGTTTCACAGAATTGGAGCATATTGTTTAATCTCCTTTTGTAGAAGTACAGCAGCTTTCAATTAAGCTGTAAAATTAGGTAAGTATGCCATGGCTTTTTTTAATGGATATCTAAGAACATTTTGACCAATTAAGTAAACACGTAATTCAGAAAGCAATATTTTCATGTTGCTGCTACAAATAATGAAGAAGATGCATCAAATGAAATCAGAAGTGGGTATGTGAATTCTAAACTTGCTCTCAGTATTATGCTCAGTGTGGGACATAAATCAATTTGTATTTGTATTGTTGCACTATTGCCATGACCCAGTGTAGAAAGAAAATACTTACATGCATTTGCAAAAGTGCTTTGTTTGGACTTAAAGCCATATCTCTTGTTATTAAAAATACGTGGAAAGATTTTTATTCTGATCTGTCAAAATTTTTATATTCTTTCAAAGATAATAGAGGAAAGTCCACATTTTTGATTTTATACAATTTCTATAAGGTACAGGGTTAATTTTTTTAAAAAAATCCTCCTTCTTATTCTGCTAGAAATCTGTAAAAGATTTTATTTAAGGAATAAAAAATTAGCAGAAAAAGCAACGTTAGCTTTACAGTACTGGTCCATGAGGGGAAAAATAACCCTCAAAGTTGTTATAATATGTGACCATACCCTTATTAGGGCCGCATTAATTCAAGCATGCATGCAATCTTTCAAGCAAATTGAAAAGGGAGTTAAGAAGAAATATTTTAAAAAAAAACTTCAAGTTTGCCCAATTACGTTAGATATTATTGTGTACAAAGATATTGCCTTGGGGTGTCTGTTGGTGTAATAACGTACAAGCAAAATGTACTGGTTTTCTTTAGCTAATTTTGGCA